ATATATATATATATATAATTCTTTTTGCCTAAATTTTACAATGAAATAGCAAAAGCGAATTTTTTTCTAAATGACGAGTATACTCATACATAAAAGTGGTTAATCTGAATAATCGAGATACTAATATGTATATATATACCACTGGTCTCATCCGTCGATTCTCTGCCTCTGCAATTCGTAATTTCCAATCGATTTCCAATTTCAAGAGCGGAAATCCGAAATTACTTTGGGCAGAATCGAAGGTTGCACAGAGAGCAAGTTGCGGATCGAGCACGCACAGCTGGAACCATCGTTCGACCTCGTGATTTAAGAGCTTTCGCAACAGCGTGCAACGCTCATACGGAAGCACACGCGACGATCATATTGCCTGCACGATCGTGCATCGAATCGCCAAGGAGAGACCTTCTCTCCACGATGTCGTTTCAGCCGCCTCTGTTCTTTCGATGGTTTTCATTCTTTATTAAAAAAAATTAGTTGTAAAGGAATTCGGTAGTACGTAGAATGGCATAAAACAGATACAAAGGACCTTCTAGAAACTTCGTGGTCCCTAGAAGTTTATAAAATAAACTTGCGACCTTTTAGATGACCTTATAAATGAAATAATGTGAGCGTAAAAAATTATATACTTGTGCAATTCGAAGTTTAATTTTATTCGGATGAACAGCAGATCTTTTGTACAATTCGAAACAATATAATTTTATTCAAAAGCACTGCAGCTCGCACAGAATCCGATTGACTTTCTTCTCTACTTCTGAGTCATTTGTAATTTTCAGATAGCACTCTTATTCCTTCTAGGGATTTTCGCAAGGCTCTAGAAAGTCCGAGAATCCTTTTTGTTTTTCTTCTTTAATACGAATGTTTATTTTACTGCGAATTTTCTTTACGTCTCGAATGAAAGCCGGTCTTATAATTATATTCTTTATACACATCTGCAGTAAATTGTAAAATAATAATTCTCATCATTTTTTTGTCGTCTTCGATTTTGGTTGCGATGGCTCGACGCTGACTTTCAACCAAAGTGAAATCGACGTGGGAAAATGTGCCTCACGGCCGAGCGCATTCAGGCCAGACTGTCATACGTTCTCACTCACGTTCAATCGTATTTTACAGTTATGCGCTTGCGGAATTTTGGGTGCAGGCCTCTGGCTACGATTGGCTTACTCCGGATACACGACCTTGGTGCCGCACTACAGTTTCGCGTCAGCTGACTCGTTGCTGCTGGCCGCCGGATGCGTGACCTTCGTCATCGCCTTCTTCGGCTGCTGCGGTGCATGGTTTCAATCGAGATGCATGTTGATCACGGTTCGTAGGTATTACCTTTGGCGTCGGTATCCGTTACCTAACCTAGTCTCTATCTTTCCAGTACTTTTTCTTGGTGATACTAATGTTCCTCGGTGAGTTCATGCTGGGCACGCTGGCCTTCATCTTTAGGGAACATTTAGCCAAGAGCCTGAAGGACGAGCTTCTGTTCGGCATTGAGAAACATTACAACGTGACTAGGGAACCTGGAACGCTTCCTGCTATATGGGACCACATACACACAGAGGTGAGAACAGCTTCAGTCTTCGAGTTAGACTCTAGTCTTTCAGTTTTCAAATCAAAGGTAACAAACGAATCTAAACAGAAAGAGACAGAGACAGAGAGAGAGAGAGAGAGAGAGAGAGAGAAAAGAAAACAGACAAATGCTACTGTAAAGTGTCGAAAATCAGTCTATTTTGAATTAAATTTTTAAACTCATGATGCGATTACAGAGAATTTTACACAAATTCTTAGATCCAGAAAAAAATTAAACTCGAAGGTTTCTAATTTGGCTGGCAGAATTGATCCCTTTTTGACTTTGATGACTTTCGATCTCAGATCAAACGTAAAATGCGTAAAACAATGCTCAAGTACGACGTGATATTGTTTGTTTTTTCTTCTTCTTTTTTGCATAATAAAATTTTTAAACTTGTAATACGACTACAGGAATTTAACACAAATATCTTAAATCCAGGACTTACAGAAAAATTAAACTCGGAGGTTTCTAATGTAGCAGAATTGATCCCGATCTTTTTAATCGACTCTCGATGTCGGATTATCAACAGAAATTACACGGCGTAATATTGTTTCCTTTACATTGTTGTATCGTGTTACTTTGTTTTTTTACTGTTATCATATCTTTCCTCAAGTTATACTTTATTTGTTTAACACTAGAACTACCGACAGTTGAGACGTAGCTATCTCTACCAAAACCAGTCAATTTTACTGATACTGGTATAAGTAGCCATGATATAAAATTACTTTTATTTTAAATGAATAAAACAAAATTAATGTTTATTATATTAATCCTTTAGCTATCCCTGCAAACGTCATTACATCATTGCGAAGAAAAAATGTAACATGAAGTAGGAATTTTAAAATAAAGTTGTCAAACCAGTCAAAATGACTGGTGTGGTAGTTCTAGTGTTAAACAAATTGCCTGCCAGGTGATCGAATCTCGTTGACCTTGGCCCACGATGATTTCAGTTCCATTGCTGCGGCGTGCGAGATTACACCGACTGGTTTCGAATCAACGCGTGGCCGACGGAGGACCGCGTGCCGGACTCCTGCTGCATACAGAGGGAACGATACTGCGGCCGTCTCGACCTTGAGGAACGGAACAAGGAGCTTTGGTACCAGGAAGGCTGCGCCACGGCCATTCAAATGTGGCTGGTCACCAGGCTTCACGTGGTGGGCACCGTTGGCCTGGTCGTCGCATTCCTCCAGCTGTTCGGACAGGTGGCCAGCATGATCTTGTTCTGCACCGTCAGGCACAAGAGGTCATCCCACACGTACAAGAGCTACGACACTACGAACACCTAGAATTTCAGATGGATCTTAGACGAGACCAGTGTCTAAGGTCCATCGAAACTTCAACTCAACTTCAGTTATAATCAGTAACACGCGTCGAATCACGTCCGCGACAATCACGATCTTCTTCGACCACCACTATCGAGAACTATCGAGAAGAAGATTTCGATTGT